TATTTTTTTTAACTTTTATTTTAACTAATTGCCAATCCAACATTTCTCATTTTTGTTTAGTTTAATTTCAAGTGCTAAAAAACTAAATAAATAAACTAAATAAACTAAATAAACTACAGCTAATAAATAAAAATGAATAAAAAAATATAGACATATTTTTTTAAATAAATGCATTTTTACATAAAAAAAACAACAAAAAAAACTACAATTAAACTAAAAACAAAAAATATAAAAATCAAATCTAATTCAAAATTAACAATTAACAATTATTAAAGACTATAAAAGTATATCAATGATACTAACATAACACTTGCTCACCAAGGCTGCATTTATTTGATTAAAAAATACAGTAGTATCAGTAAAATTGTGAGATATTATTACAATTTAAAATAACTGTTTTCTATGTAAATATCTGTTAAACGGTAATTTATTTCTGTGATGCGCAGCTGTATTTTCAGCATCATTACTCCAGTCTTCAGTGTCACATGATCTTCAGAAATCATTCTAATATGCTGATTTGCTGCTCAAGAAACATTTCTGATTATTATCAATGTTGAAAACAGTTGTGCTGCACAATATTTTTGTGGAAACTGTGATGCAATTTATTTTTCAGGATTCTTGGATGAATAAAAAGTTCAAAAGATCAGCATTTATTTGAAATAGGAATCTCTTGTAACATTATAAGTCTTTACTGTCACTTTTGATCAACTTAATGCGTCCTTGATGAATAAAAGTATGAATTTCTTTAGAAACGGCTAAACTAATTAAGACACTTTACACCTCAGCAGAACAGACAATGAATGCATTTCCGAGTATTAAATATCTGTTCCTCAGCTTTTCACGTTTGTAGAGTATAAACAACTCAGTTATCTCGCTCGTGTTTATTTGTCTTGCTGTGTTTGCTCTTATAATTCAGTCTCATCATCAGAGCTCTTTAATACACGGTGATCCAGATGACTTTAGTTCGGCTCTGTGTGTGTGGCTTGATTATTTGTGGCTTGTTTTTGCGCTGTAAGATCAAAGTCTGCTCC